TTTTTCAACTGCTTGTTAAATATTAAATTTTAAATTTTAAGTTCCGATACAGTCCACCGTCTATGTTGAATAAAACTGACGAACTCGGTGTTAGCTGAAAAAGACTATACCCATGGGGTAATTTTGGATTTCTCTGTTGTGTAATTTATATGCTCTGTTATAATAAATACATTGAGCTCTTTTTATGGATCAGTTTTAATATTTTATATTATTAAGACTCACTTGAATTATATACCAACGGATTTTTTTACCTGTACTATATATATGTATCTTACTTATTATAAAACCCAGGTTGTGTGTGTGTGTGTGTGTGTGTGTGTGTGTGTCTGTACGTTTATATATTGGATCGGATTTCCTACATTTTTCAACCAATTTCAACAAAACTTCACAGGACTACGTAAAATTACCTTGCGGTGGTTGTGACAGCGCCCAAAATGGGAAAAACACAATTGTTTTTGCACGAAATCAATTTGAAAACACGATTAAAAGGCATTAATGAAAGGGGGACAACTCATATCGAGTTATACTTATTATAAAACCCAGATTGGTTGTTTGTTTGTGTGTGTGTGTGTTCGTTTATATATGGGATCAGATTTCCTACATTTTTCAACCGATTTCAACAAAACTTCACTTTCTTTTGGCAGGTAGTGTTTCTTATTGTCTTGCACACTTTTTTCTTTACTTTTACATTCAGAATGCTTTAAAAATTCCATTTCCAAGACAATTGTTTATAATAAAATTCTATTCAATCGGTAAACTCATAACGATTGAAAACAATGTTTTTGTTTGAGTTTGGATTTGACCAATTCGTAAAAAAAAAAAAAAAAAAAAAAAATTAAAACAAATGTCAACAACCTTAGACAATAATCTTTGTTAATTTTATTTTTCAGTCTTTATGATGGTCGATACTTGATCTTACTGTTACATCCCCGGGCAACGCCGGGCTCTACTGCTAGTATATATATAGTTTGCTGTTCTGTAAACGGTTCCGTTTGGCAGCAGTCGATAGTTGTGATATCATGAAGTCACCGAGCGTGTTGGTGTTGTTAAAAAAAATGATCCCACACGATTATGAGGCTGTCTCCCAGAAAATCTAACTAGGGTCCGCTCTGCCTAGTTGTACCCGTTGCATTGATGGACTCTATGGGTTGACGAGGCGCCTATAGTAGCGTGTGGCCCAGCCGCACCCGAAACATCAAGTATCCGGCCATTGATTGTTCTATAGTGCACAAAATATTCCACGATATGTTTTGGCTCCTATCAAAGGGGATAAATCTTTGAATAAAATGGTATAATTTATATCTTCCTCATCTCAACTTGGTTGATAAAAAAATACGTTAACATTTGTAGCAATGGTCACAGGTATTTTTAAATAAGAATTTGAAAACGTATTTCAGTAATATGAATAACTTTTTTTGACGTTTTAATTTTGTTGTAAATTGCAAGATTTTGGCAATAATTTAGTAAAAACATTATTATTTAATATTTATATTAAAATTATTTTTGTAGATTTTCACAGTTTTTAATTTTAAATTTTATCATCCAAAATTAACATCGATAACGCTGTTTTATGTTTGCCGAAAGAAACAACTAATCTTTCTAAAAATAAAGTAACCTTTTTAGTTATATGCAATTCGTGGAAAATTACTGAATTTACTGATTACTTAACGACATTTGGAAAAAAAAAGACTGACAATATAGTGAAAATATAATTTTGTTTATAAAATAATTTATAATCTATGTTCCTGATTGAATCTCTCAGTAGGACATTTTGTGTTCGCAGTAGGAGACGCTCCTACTGCAAATACAAAACCAATGCTGTGTACGGAGTCAGGTCAAAAGTCTCGTTGGCCGACAGGAATCACTTCTTGCCATTATTAAGCATCGAAATATGTCACGGTTTGGCCACGTTACACGGTATAACATTCTATGTGCTGTGTCATTTCATGGCGCGGGTGATCATAGCTCTCCACAACATTCTACCCTTTGTAGTGGTGAGCAGAGTTTGGTCCTATGCAGAGCCTCCAATCGAACTTTCTGTCTGCCATTCACACAAGATTGCCAGGTAGGTGGTCCGATGACATCACTTTTTCATTCGATAAGTCCTATGAGTGTCAAATTTTCCAAACCCTTTTCTCATTATGCTAAATACATTTTAACTGTCTCTTTCTGATTCTAAGTTTCCTTTTTGTTTCTATTTTTCTTCAAAATTCTTCGAGGCGAGTAGGAGTCTATCCACTGATACATCTTCTAGCTGGCGTTTTTGTATTCGTTTTTATTCTTTCTACTTTTCAGTTGATCGAGGCTTATATCGCCGATGCAGTGATGATGTTCGCCAACACGGTGGCTGCTGTTGTGAGACGAAGAAACCTGGATTATCCAGAAAATAATGTCGATTTGAGAGAACAACTTAACTGGAAAATACGCAAGGTCAGTGACCGTGGGGTCAGAAACGAGTTCAACATATGCCTATGTGCAAATAAACAGTACCGTTCTGAATATATATAACAAGTGAACGCTGGAGTCAACACCGAGTGGCGACAGTCTGTTTCATACTTGAACGTATTTTTTAGGTCTCATGTTGCTTTCGAGCATGAAACAGACTGTCGCCACTCGGTGTTGACTCAAGTGTTCACTTTTATATTTACACGCACTATCCTTGATATTAAGCACTTTTACCCTAGATATAGTATATCTTAAAAGTATATTTTCATCATATATATATATATATATATATATATATATATATATATATATATATATATATATATATCGAGTGCAGCAACAAAATTGTCCAAATTTTGTAACAGCATAATTATCCATCCTACAAAAAGTTCAATATCTAAAAAATACACTAAACAGTTTCTTTTTTCTAGGTTTTCAGATAAGATGTTTAGCCATCTTGAAACCAGTTGTCGTAAGAATCACTGAGAAACCTTTTTAGTTATTAAGCTAAAAAGGGAGCAGATTAAAATTGTTTTGGGTCAGACCCACTGGCTTCCTAATTGAGCAATGGTGAGAGGAAAAAGATCATTCAGGCCTTCAGTTATTGTACCAACATTCATATTTTGGCCTCTGTCTTCAAAGTTTATTAAAGAACCATCAAGAGAACGGTGAATCACTTTAAAAAAGAGGGAACAGTAGAGAGGAAACCTGGATCAGGAGGTCACAACATGGATCATCATTTCAACTTAGAGCTAAAGAGATCAATTAGAAAAGATCCAACTCGATTCATGAGACGTTTGACACGTGAGAGAGGAGTTTCAGCAATGACAGCCCAAAGAGCAGTGAAAAAAGACTTGAAAATGAAATCGCACGTGAAACCTGTGAGGCACCCTGTTACTTCAGGACATAAAGTTAGAAGGTTAGAGAGGGCGACGATCATCTTGAATAAGTTGGAAAATGAACCTGGAATAATATATATATATATATATATATATATATATATGAACTTTATCTGGACTTCCGATCCTTAGCTATGATCAATTCATGATAAACATGTCATTTTCATTAATGATTGATTTCATCACGACACTTCTGTTAAGCTTGAAGAGTAATTATACATACTTATTGCTCAATGTAGAGTCCAATAGTGTTATAAAAATCTTCGAGAATTTCAGTAAGATATCTTTAATCATTTCTAAGATACAACGGTTCAGAGCTTAATCTAACAATTTAACAATTTTGTTGTTACACGATATATATATATATATATATATATATATATATATATATATATATATATATATATATATATATAAATAAAGTCTTAAGGTGTGCTATATTTATGGGATAAAGTGCTCAATATCAGAGATAGAGCGTGTGTAAATATAAAAGTGAACATAGAAGTACTGTCGCCTCTAAGTGTTGACTTCTATGTTCACTTATATATATATATATATATATATATATATATATATATATATATATATATGTATATTGAAGTCACCACTCAGAGGCGACAGACTGTTTTATGCTAAACGCAATCATCAGGCCACATGCGTTATTTGTTTCTCGACTATTTATATATACGTGTCAGTGGTGCATTGTGGGTAGTCTATTGCATTGTGGGTAGTCTATTCTAACGGTTATTTCTTTACTTTTGTAGTGTACCAATATTAATAGAATGAAACAATTTTTATGAGTGCTACAAAATAAAGAAATTTTTATTTCCTTTTCTTTTTACAACACGGGAACTTGTGGAAAAAGCTGGAAACAAAAAAATGATTCGTTCGTGTGTTTTTTTTAAATTTATTTTCTCTGCTATTTCGTTCGGGAGGGCCTTTAGAACGTATGTATATATAATTCATTGTGAGATAATTCTTTGATTGATGAAGATGGCTTCGAGCTGGTGGAACGATACTCTTGGTCTGTTTACGTTGAAAGGTGGAACACAAAGAGTTATGGAATATTGATATTCTGGCGACAAAGAGTTCTTTTCGGCTTCCGTAGTAAATGTGCTGCTGTACTTGAGTTTGAAAATGTGTCTTAACCGATTGGGCCACATTTCGGTTAGCAAGGTCTGTGGTCCAATCGGTTAAGGCAAGTCAGGCTATATGACGGTTCCGTATAGGGTACAGGTTCGAATCCTGTCGGAGGACGCATATTTTCTATGAAAATTTCTCGGATATTCAGGCCGGTAAATGTTGTTAATACTGTTTATTATAAACAGAGCATTTACTTAAATATTTGTATCTATAAAAAGAACGTATAAACATAAAAAAAGTCTTAAAAAAATAATTGTCGGATTTTGTCCATTTCATAATATATATATACTACACACACACACACACACACATATATATATATATATATATATATATATATTATCATCCGAATCCCGCATAGACAAACTAGAATTATGATACACTTACACTCATAAATTATACACATGATCAATGATTGACAAGTTAAATGCACGTGAAGTATTATACTAAGTTTAGTAAATATTAATTAACTGTAATATTCTTTATTTTTAGAGAAATTCAACTGGTCTCTTCATGTCGACTGCGTTTGACGACGATGGCTTTAGCTCAAACACTGACTACGAAATGAGCAACGTCTTTCACCTGGTTCAAAATGGCGTTGATCATGTGATTGAAAAGGGCGTGGCCACCTGGAATAGAGAGTCCCGTTTGAAAGTGATTGGTCCCCTTTTTCCCAACAAGCAAATCGGTTTTGGAGGCGTCACATTCAAAGTGGGAATATTCCTGGTAAAAATAAAAGAAACTAGCTTTTTGTCTTTTTTTTCTATTTCACGACAAGTGTTGACAAGTTTATCGGTACGACTCACTTTACAAAATATAACCAGAAAATTAAACAAAATTTAAAAAAAATCTTTTCTTGCTTTTCAATATCCCTCTCATATATATATATATATATATATATATATATATAATTAAAAGAAAGACGGTCAATTTATATGCTTCTTATAATATGCAGATTTAATAGGCCTGTGAATGAAATTGGAGGACTTAAAAGATAACAAAATAGTAACTATATTGACAATACGATTAAGGGTATTTATTATATATATATATAATATATATTATATATCAATAGGCCCTTTGACTAAATTGAAAAACTAAGAGAACGGTTTTAAAGTCGGAATTTTCGGACACGCCTGTATCCTTTTTCAACGAGACAGGAAATAAGCAAAGAAGTAAATCCTAATCCCTGTTTAATACTTTAATATGTGATTCTATTTTGAAAATATATTTTAACTCTGATCTGTGTCATTTTGTCACCTTTTAATAGAAGACGTTATAGAAGTGGATGGATCTTAAGAAATTCTATCAGATCGTGCATCTTGTATGGGTTTGTGTTGAGGTTGAGAGGTTGGTAGTCATTGTGATGACACTTGCTTTTCCAACCATCTCTTCAGTAATATAAAGCCACAGATAATTATCAGGAAGTTTAGAATTACTTCCTGTTTTCTTGTGATTTATTTTAAATTTAAAAAAAAATATTGTCTGGATAAATATATATATATATATATATATATATATATATATATATATATATATATATATTTTTGTCTGTGTTTGTGCATATGTTATTTTTGATAACTATTTTCTAATATATTATTTAGATATATGAAAAAATATTTTCATGAGGGAAATGTCAAGTGATTTATTTTTATTATATTAAGACTCGCTCTCAAATATCTCTGTGAAATAATTGTCAACAATAATTTCATGCAGAAAATACGAAGAGATTTCTATTATATATATATATATATATATATATATATATATATATATATATATATATATATATATATATATATAAATTCCCAAGAGGATAGAATCCAGGTAGAACTCTGTGTCCTGGACAGAGTAATAATATAATAAAAAAGCTCAAACACTAATATTTCATGGTTTATAATTTATTACATTGGAATCGTAATCACGATCCAATTCATCAGACCTAAAAATTCCGTGATTACGATTCCAATGTAATAAATTATAACCATGAAATATTAGTGTTTTAGCTTTTTTATTATATATATATATATATATATATATATATATATATATATATATATACGCGAGTCATTCTGAAAGTAATGCCTGTTACATTATTATGTTGTCCCAAGACGCAGAAGCAGATGCATGCCTGTAAATCATGAAGCTTCCCGCCAATAATTTATAGCTATATGTATTTTTACAGGTAGTCATTGAACAAAAGCCCTTTAAAATGGCGTCTGACTTAATTGTTCATAAGAAGAAATTCAAGGTGTGTCATTGAATTACACATTGACGATTGGCTGACAAGACTTGGTTAGCTACACCCTGGCATATTTTGAATTTTATGATTCCAATTAATTCAAATATATGTTTATAGTATAAGTGACATAATGTGTAAAACAGAAAAGAATGTATATAATATTTATAGGTATTATTATTATTATTATTATTTTGTACAGATATAAAATATTTTAAAACAGACTTTAAAATATCATCTCCTATGGTGAAAGACATTTATTTAATCCGAAAAGTTTTTGTCTATCATACTGACAATATTCAATCCTTGATAATGACTGAGATGATCGAAAGTACTTGATAGAAAAATGAATAAATAAGGAATAAATACATAAACTTTGGACCGTTTATCCACCATTTTGATCCTAATGTACAACATCTTGTTCGAATATTGGGAAAATACAATAAAAATAAACAGACACTGCTGGTCGAAACATGACTGACACACTCAGATCTAGTCTAGATATAAAATACCTTTACATCAACCCCGCTGTTAATAAATGCTTAAATTTTTTAAAAAGCATCCACAGTAAATTTACGTCCAGGTTCTTACAACATTTCACTTTTCTATGCAGACCTTCTATTATCACAATGTGAGATATTTAATAACAAAAAATGATGGAAATCTGAACAAAAACAAAAAGAATCTAAATAAAATCGGCGAGATTCGATACTCAAAAAACATATATTAAAAAAAAATCAATATTTTCAACTTCCCCTTCCTTCTTCGTACAACAGATGTAGTCGCATGAACGTAAATATCACTTTAGTCCGAAGAAGTTGCTGGGTACGTGGCCGAGTGGTTAGCGTTAGACCATGAGATCCGGTTTCGAATTTCACCATGGTCGATTTGACAGGAAGGTCTGGAGGAATGCCTGAAAACCATACCTGAGTGAAATTGCTAGCACGAAGTCACAAGTCATCGTGACCGATGGTTTGAGTGTGCTGGCTTTGATCACGCCAGATAATGATATAACAATAATCATAGTTGCAGTATAAACCACAGATTGGCTCTGTGGGTATCAAACAAGCACAAAATGTGCCCGAGCAGGCGCCTGCAATGGGGATTAGCCATCCGCCCTAGTAGAATGGCATCCTCGGAGACGAGTGGCGGCGCCATTTAACTTACCTTTACCTAGTCAGATAAAGTACTAAAACAAGTCACACGAAAACTTTTCCCACTTTATCATAATTTTATTTGCTAATTAATATATAAAAGTTTTCGTGTAACTTGCTTTAGTACTTTATCTGACTAGGTAAAGGTAAGTTAAATGGCGCCGCCATATATATATATATATATATATATATATGTGTGTGTGTGTGTGTGTGTGTGTGTGTGTGTGTGTGTGTGTGTGTGTGTGTGGTTTGTTTTGTTTTGTTTTGTTTTACGGCATATCAACCTCAATGGGTTATTTAATGCCCACAAGGTTTTTCTTGCTGGTAATATTTTTTTTTCAAATGTATTGTTGATAATTTTTTTCTTCAAAAATCTATTTCTGCTAATAATTTTTCTTAAAAAATGTATCGCTTGTAAATTTTTTTTTTCAAAAAAGTATACCTGCTAATAATTTTTTCTTTAAAAACTTATTGCTGGTAGTAACTTTTTTTTTTTACAAAGTATTTCTGCTATTAAAACCTATTTTTGCGCTTTCATAGTGTTTTGACCCCAGTTTAGGGGTTAACTATTTGCCCATAGCTGATATCCTAACAGGTGCTACCACCAGGTCAGGGTGAACTTGGGAACACCAGCAATTAAGTGGTGGTTCCACATTCCTCAAAGCCTCCTGATCAGAGGGCTTGTTGTTGGACGTAGTTTATCGTCTTACCCTGGACGCAGATGTAGTTTATCGTCATACTCAGGACGGATATATTATACATTTTTAAACATAATATCAGGAAATTTATTAATGTTAACTCATTATTATGAACCATTTGGATATTTAGTAAGTTTAACTTAGTCTGGCACAAGGCAAACCAGTCGGAATTGAGGTTGTTACGATTGTGCTGCACGAATCTTTCAAGTAAATACGATGTCTGGTTTGAAAATCAGCATCAGAGATTTTGACTTTTACTCAAATTGGAACCCCGACCTTTTGTCCTGATAGGATAAGATATATGTAACATCAGTCACAATAATGATAGGATAAGCTACGTGTAATATCAGTACTGATAGGAGAGGATATGTGTAATAATAGTCACAATAAAGATTAATAAAATTTTCTTCGTCCGTCGTCACTATAATAGGAAATTTCGACAAATTGCTTTATTCATTTTTTTGGTGTTTCTTAAGACGTGTGAAAAATTATTTTATATTTGAATGACCACTTATTGGTTAAATGCCAACTTATTAGTTAAATTTGTCACTTTTCTTTTAAAAACCTGAACATATTGATATTTTCCAGGTCGAACCTTACACGATGATTAACGAAAAAAATGGCAACTATATTGGACTTTGCATATCGATTCTGGAAGAGCTTGGCACGCAACTCAACTTCAAGTTTGGATTTTCTTAATCTTTTATTAAAGTTTTTTTTTTTTTTTTTTAATTTTACAACCTTTTTTTTTTAATCATTTCATCCCAGGCAAGGTGAGGAAGCCATCAAACACAAAATGTTATTGAATGTGAAAGAAACTAAGAAAACGTTACTGAGACAGAAAATGGCAATTGACGTTATATTTTTTGCAGATTGTAGTTGACAAGAAATCAAGAAGCCGGAAGAGAGTTTGATAGGCGGGAAGTGAAAGAGAAGAAACTATTGAAATAGGACTTAAGGTTACATTTAGCAATTTCAACACTAAAATGATGAGACCTACCTGCCAATCTAGTACCGCGCTTAAATTCATGAAGTCGAGGTATCGCTTCTTGAGTAGGACAAGTGATGACAAGGGCGATACCGCTTCTTGAGTAGAACAACTGATGACAAGGGCAATACCACTGTCTGTTTAAACTTAACATTTTAATGATATTGAATATCACAGGTTTTGTAGTGAAGGCTAGCTAGCTGCGAATTCACCTACGGTGCTATAGGGAAGACTGCAAGCTTCATCACGTCCAATTTTTGCTGGAACTGAAAACTAAATAGAAAACCAAATTTGCCATTTTGGCGTCGACCTATGATAACGCTGAGTTGAGCAGTATCAGTTGTTGAAATATATTGCCACCTTTTTAAAATTAAGCTGAACAAGTGCATTTCGTTTCTTTTCCCTGAAACATTAGCTTCTAAAAAATTATGTCAATTTTATGGGCGGATAAAGCCATTAGGCCTCATTCTGGAAAATAAGCTAAGGCGAAATGCAAAAATATGTATTTAAAATACATTTTCTGAGTTGCGAAAGATATCGAGGCCCAGTCACACGTAAACAACTAGGATTTCGATTCCTGACTCTCCTAAGAAAGAAGATGACCCTTCCCACTTGTAAGATTGGCGTAATTCAATATTTATGCTCTCTATATAAAATAAAACAAAAAGCTAAGCTCCTCAAAGCAAAATGACTCTTCAGCATTGCCGGTGGTCATTGTTTTTCACAGCTTCTTATCTTTTGTTGCATTAAGTAACTTATGACATATTTTAGCCCTCATTGTATCGATTATGCCATCAATTCACAAGTACATAAAGTTGCTCGATGTTTTTTTCTATATTTCTCATGTGTTCAGTATATCGTGTCAAAGATCAGCTTTTCCAGGTTCTTCTTTTCCTCATTATGAGACCCAGGAATCTCAACTGTCTTTTTTCCGATTTTTCATATCAGTTTCTTGGTAAGAATGTCCATTTTATGAGAGGACCAGATAAGAAATACAGAAGTAGGAATTCTTAAAGCCTAAGAATTAATTTAGTCATTCCCCCACCAATCTTTTAACCCTGACTTTTATTTTGTGTCACGTTGTTTAAAATTTCTGTTATTATTCCGAGGAACCACTTCTCCATTATTTCGTGGAAGGAGTCATAAGACTTCAGGTTTTAACACCGCATTGCATTTAAAGAAATAAAGACAGATTCAAACACTGATGATTGCGGCAACCTTAAGGGGAAATATTGAAGGAGTTGAGAATACTCGTGATGGCTTTCATATTACACACAATTACTTAGCATTTATAATTTAAGAGGGAATAGCCAATACAGAACTCAAGAGCCACTCAAAATAGAGCGCTACTGCCTGAAGATGTGTAATATGATTATCAGATAAAGAAATAGGAACAGGATTCGATTCCACGTTAAAAGGAATCTGTTTTTTTCCTGAAAAACATTTCAAAGGCTGTTTTCAATATCTTTTTTGTTAAATGTTCATCTGCCGATAACGATTGTTCATTGATTAGAAGAGAAAGTTTTCAGGGAAGCATCCACGTGGGAGTCTGTTCCACAAAGTAACAGTTCTTGTTGGAAAACTGTTTGAGTGAAACAGGCTCCTTATAACTGGAATACGGGGAGGATGAAGGTGATTTGATTTTGTGGATGTAGCATGGCAAGTTTTAAATGTAAATTTATGATCTAATGGAACTAGAGAATGGAGCGCTCAGCTGAACATTAGCCATGGAAATAGCGATGGCGTAGGGATGGGATGGTAACGTTATTTTGGGAAAGCAGGTAATAAACAGATGAAATAAACATTAGTCCTTTTTTTTGTTCTTGGACAGATACAGCTTGATTCGATCCCCAGACCGTGCGTCGGGAACAGAACAGCCAGATGGTTCCTGGAACGGATTGGTAGGAATGACCATGCGCAATGTAAGGCTATGCACCTATTTATACGAGTCTCTCTCTCTCTCTCTCTATATATATATATATATATATATATATATTGTTTGTTGTATAAATCCCATAATTCTAATAAACTTTATTCATAATACCAAATCAAAGAGAAATAAGCGAAACTAATAAATAAATAAAATTATATATGTAATTAATTTCCACATCATGACTAACACAGAAAAAGAAATGGTCTTGATCTGTTCTACTTATCCGTCATATTCCTTACAACAACCGCCAGGACACCTTTTTCGGCCGCTGGAAAATGCTTTGATAGGGAAAACATCCCTCTAATGAAAACCAGATTCAAGAGTTGGTCGAAAACTTTTTCACATCAAAATCTGTGAGATTTTACTCAAAAGGTATCGAAGACTTGCGTGACAACATGTTAATGCCAATAATGGTGAATATAGAATTGAATGAAATTTAACTGTACGTTATTTTTTAAAGGATATAGTTGATAAACAAAAACGGCAATTATTTATGACTCACCCTGGTACAAAGCAATATTTCTAACTGTAGAAAGAAGATTTGTTTTAGCAGGTTTCAGCAATCAATCTGTATGTTGTACGTTGAATAAAGTAAAGGCGAAGAATACCGTTGATTAGGGATTAATAGAAAACATGGCTGAAAGAAAGTGCGTATTATGTGCATACCGTATGTGACAACATTCGTGGTGAATTGTGACGAGTTTTGTGAGGACGTTCTCTGATCGTTCGTCATTCATTGCACCTGTGATGACATCCAAGGTTGAATTATATTTGCATATACATCCAATTCACTATGTGCACAGGTTTGTCTTCTCAGCCGTGATCGCTTTCAACAAATAATACTAGTGACAACAAATGTTTTAAAGGCACTAGTTGAGAGTTCACTTAGCAAACTATCTTTCCCTTTTGCTGAACTGCTATCTCCCTAACTTCTCTGGCCTCAGTTAACTAAGTGGATTTAAAAGAGCAGAAATTATCTCCTTATTTTCTAAAGATGTGTGAGAAATCAGATTGTTACACGTATTTCCTTGTGTAGAATACAATAAATTTTGAATGAAAATTAAAGTAAAAAAGGTGGGTCGTATTCAGAAATTTTTACTCAACTTAAAAACTTCTTATTCGAAACAGCAACATTGCAAATGCACTCAGAAAAATAGATAATGTCGGTATTTGATATGTCGGCCATATTTGTTCTTTGGAAATCAGCATAATTGAATGTCTTGTCTCAAAGACAGGAAATTCACCGAAATTGATTAAAATAATTAAGAAAGGATCTGTCATACTTTGATAACATTAATATTACAACAGAGCATCTTTCAGTATCTGTCTATATTTCTGAGATGAGGTATTATACACACTATTTACATTATTCGGACTACTGTCCTCATCTTTGTCGCCATATTTATTACAACGTTTCGGCCGTTGTACGCTCCGTCCGTCTTCAGGTTGGAATGTCGAACTGAACCCTTTATTTCGTTCACTGGGGTAGACTGTTCTAGTTCCACGTGCCATGTTTAATGGATGTCAGTTTTCAGTTATCTCCTGTAAATTCCTCTCTTCAAGTTCTCCACTGCCTTAACCGGGTATTGAACTCACACTCTTTGGGTTCTGTCACTGGATCTAACTAATGCCTTTATCCAATGTGCCATGTGTCCTTGAGGAAAGCATCTTTCCCCGAAAATAAGTTTTTAAACGGAAATTAGAAGAATAACAGGCAATGGCTAAACATCCGATTTATTTCTGTTGTATAATATTAAATATTTTAGTGAAACATATGTTCGCCATATTGAGATTGTATTGGATTAATATGGTACAACTTTTCCAAAAAAAAATTAAAAAAATATATATATATATATATATATATATATATATATATATATATATATATATATATATTACATGTACTACAGTGTCGTATTATACACAAGGATGTAATTTATTCACTGCTTATATCTTCAGAAACACTGGGGGCGTATTATACTCAAGTCGTATTATACAAAAGAAAACACGACATGTGGATGTGCGTACACCAAATTATATATTCTCAAAGAAAAAGTTCTTGTTAACCCGTTTCATCATTCCGCTTTTCAACCCGAATTGTAATCGTATTAACAATACAGGGCGGGAAATGACAGCAAACGTTTTAGGTCACTGGGTAGTTTTCCATTGTCCACACTTTTATTTCATTGCACTAAGTGGTAGGCAATATGTAACCGATTGTTTGGCATTGTTATATATTAAATTTAGCTTAGTACAATATCAGGACCCAAGTGTGTGTCAAGTATTGATATTAGTAATGACCTACTAATGCAGCTTGCCACTGAATACACAACTACTTATTTTATGTACCATATCCTTTCAGGATGAGGAAAATCATGGCTCTTCAAAACTCCATATTTTTTGTTACTTTTACTTTTTACCATTTATCATCTATCTTTGTCATTTTCCTGGCGTTCATTTGTACAATCTCGTAAAATGGGTTACTCGTTGTTTCTTCTTGCTTTCAACATGAGTGTTTCCTGTGAGTATTAAATTCTCTAGGCCCACTTTGCACTTTTTGTGTCTCGGAAAATTTAACCCTCTCTTTCTGATTGTAAGTATAAGTTTACTTTTAGTTCCAATTTTCCTTCTTTTATGTGTCTTGTTCCTTCAGGACGTGGATGACCATGGCTCTCCACAACTTCCTATCCTTTATAGCTGTAAGTAAGGTTTGTTTTTCGTTACCCCTCTCATTGTATTAAAGAAAGAAGATACTATAAAACAGGTTTGGTTCTAAAAGAGTACTGATCGTATTTGAGGCTAAATTCAAAGTTTCCAGTGATGATTTTCGGGATAAGCGTGTTCTTTCTAGTTTGAAGATTAGCGCAAAAAATTTTTCTGATCCATATTTCTCCCAGTTTAATCTGGTATTAAACGAAGTAAATATCAATAAATGCCATTCTAAAAAGTTTCATAGAGAATGTGAAATATAACGACATTTTTGCAACAAACAGAAAGAAAACGTTTTTGAAACACATATGGAGGAAAGAAAGACTTGGAGATTTCGTACTCACAAGGCATATAGAAGGCATGTTAAACAGAAATCGGATAATCTAAGTGATATATTTGAATAATTGATGTACGATAAATGGCAATGGTAATATTAATATTAATCTTTACGTTATGAAGAAACATTCAACATTCATTGACCGAGAAGCCAGTCCTATTCGAGTAATGATTTTCTTCATTCTCTCGCCATCGGGCTGGAATCAAACTGTAGTATCTGTTCCTTTTACTCGAATGATAATGGTAATATTAGCCGTTTCCTTATAAAGAAACATTCAGCGTTCATTAACCGAGTAACCAATGCTACTTTCGGCTGAAATTTATCAAATTTTTCTATTACTACAAATTTTCAGGAAAACAGGTTTCTCAAGTCCAGTAACTGTTATTGCTCTTTCCAGTATTAACAGAGGTTTCCTTCCTAACCTTTTAGTTTCTCGTCGAGTTACATGTGTTATCCATGTTAGTTGTTTTTACTGCTGAATGTCCTCAAGTGATGTAGTTTCTGTTATTTGCTACAGGTCCTTGTCTGTGATTATATAAAGTTAAAAAAAGGATAGTCCTCACTGAGATGTACGGGCCTTATTCGCATGAAGCCATTTTTAACCATTTACCTGAGAAAGCGGTCGTATACAGCTGACAGTTATTTCTGAAGTTTGGTGCCATGCAATGGCGTCCATATTGAGAGTCTAGATCTGGTGAGGCCATTTTAAAACTTGAATCGAGTTTTTAGGTAAATGTTTTGGTTTTGTAGAAAAGTGCGGTTTTGGACAAAACTAACCCAAGCACAGACTGTTCTAGGTTCAATTTTCTTAAATAAGTATTGACGAATACAACAAAAAGATGGAAGTAGTGGAATAATATAAATTCCTACGTCCTGAAGCTATGCGCGCGCGCGCACACACACACACACAGATGATTCGATGTGTGTATGGCAATCCTGAATTTTTATCTAAATATTTTTTTAGATTGACTGTCTCTGTTCGCAGACCGAAATTTAAATTTTCTAAATCAAATTCAGCCCAATGAATTTTTCAAATGATTACTCGTCACGTCACCAATCTAATTTGCTTAATCTTTCTTTGTCGCCACAGGAAGTGAATTTCTCTATTGGTCCATTTACGATGACGAAAAAACGCGAAGACGTCGTCGATTTCACGATGCCTTATACTGACGAGAAACGAGGTGTTCTCGTTAAAAAAGAAGCTTCCTCGTCAGAAGACGCTTTCCGCATCATTCGGCCATTCACTGTGAAGCTGTGGACATCTTTGGTAGCTGTCATCCTCTTGGTAGGCATTGTACTTGCTGTAATTAACAAACTTAAACCGGACATTATTTTAAACGCTCACGAGCCACCGGATCGAGATGACCACAGCCTGAAAGAAACTTTGTGGCTGATCATATCACATTATATGCAACAAGGTAAATTGTTTGGGACATTGAAACACACTTAAAAAAAAATTAATTGAAAAAGATCCATCTATAAAAGCCAATGTCTGTTGTAACGCACATCACGTTTTCCGCTTGTTTTTTTTGTTCCTATTTATCATGGTAGATTAAATACACATTTCATATTTTGAATAAACAAACCCAATGTATTTTCGATTAAAATGATATTATATGTTGCTCATCTCAATTAGGTAGGTATAAAAAAACATTGTAGCAATGATTACAATTTTTATAAAACGTTTAAAATATATTGTAATAATATCTACATATAGAAGTGTAAATAGTGCAACAAATATCAATACGGAATTGCCGAACTGGGTTCAAATTCTGGGTTAGATTTTTACGCTCACTTTCCCACAAATATCGTTGTGAAAGGTCTAAATCCATCTCTTCTCTATCATTGGTTAAATAACAATGAATATTGTGTTTTTAGCCTTGGTTGGTAAGCAACGAAGAGGGATGGGCTCCGCCAGACATAGACACACCTATTCTGCTATAGCTGCAAGACGTGTGATCGACCTATGACCCTATTGGGTTACGGGACTCCTGATCATGTAATAATTCATCATTGACGTTTTCATTTTGGTATTAATTACAAGGAAATAGCATAAGTCAGAACAAATAAAAATGACTTTGGCCAAATGAAAACCACTTTTTAACTGTTTTGAATGTCAGTTTTTGTTATCTAAAGTGACCTTCAATTCCACCATATTTGATGTTTGCCAATAAAATATGAAAATTCGTTATAATTAAATGTCTTCCAAAACAAAAATATTTAGAAATATTCAACAACAACTAGTTAATTTAATTACACTTAGATTTTAAGAAAAATTATTTTGTCTTAAAATAATGAAAAATACATTTGTTAAAAGTTCAAGGGGATATCCAGTCATCTTTCCTTAACCATATGGGATGAGAGCGTGTTTAAATTTATAAGCTTCCCTGAGGAAAGTTGAAGTATGGATGACCAAAAATGGCAAAAAATCTGATATTACTCATAATGGCTAGAGTATATTTCCAACTGCAATTGAGGATCCGTATGTATTACTATGTATGATTTGTTCTAAAACCAAGCTGAATGATGAGATCAAATTTATTACGATGACTCCATCTGTAATAGTGCCTAGCCATTGTTCAATCCGTCTTCTGTGCAGAGATGTCCAGTTTACTTAAGTCTTCCATTCTAACATTAGCGAAGCAAGTCTCTTTGGCTGTACAGCAGTGCTATTTCGCATTTAATACATCCGTTGTTTTTTTTTCTCTACCAAACTGATCTTGACATCTATTCGAAATGATGTTCTTCTTCCCCACCATAACAATTCTGTTATTTATTTAATGTAGTTTTAGTTTGCACAACATACGACGAACTAATCAAAGATTTGATGTTAGGATTGACAGCGCGTCATACGAAAATTCGTAATTCTGATTACTTACCTCCGGACGTTCTGAGTAATACATACGGCTACTCAATTGCAGAACATCTTATAAATAATCGTAATTGCGCTTCTAATTTTAGTATTGACTGGTTTTCCATCCTTAGCAAGATCCATTTTTGTAATCATTTAAAAGTCTTGGAGGCTATATATATTAAATCTAAGAGACGTTCCCTGTGTAAACAGAAGGATTTTTTTTACTTGGCCTTCATGTAGTTTCAATTTAATATTTTTTTCCATGTTTCCTTTCTATTTTATTCATAGTTTGTCTATTTTTATAAATTCACATCGATTTAGCTCAATTGAGCGAGGTAAGAAACTGGTTATCTCGCCACTTCATTTTTATTTTTAATTTTGCATTATGAGTCTCAATATATATATATTCCATCACTGAAAACCTGTTAATGTCTGCCATCAATTTAGCTAAAGAATACTGTCCTTAGCGATAAAGAGATTAACATTATAAAGCAGGCGAAAAAAACCTATATCATACCATAATGGTTGTCTGTGGACTAAAAGAAACAACACAGAATTTAACATTGCTATGGGTTTGTTTGATTCTGCAGAGGCATGCGAGCTGGTTGGAATTTTGTTATTGAGGCGATTAAAAATTCTTTTCAACATTTAGGACAGAGGACTCCACAGAGATGACAGTATAATTTTCCTCCGTAAAACAAGCCCAAGAAACATAGACAGATCAAGAAAGGAACTCATCAACTTCTTCAAAGATCACGAATTAAAAATTATCACAACGACCAATGTTAAAGTGATCAACTTTCTCGATGTCACCTTGGGCTTGTGTACTGGTTATTATAAACCGTACATCAAAGATCTACATATATACGTTAACAATGAATCCAATCATCCACCTTCTATTTTAAATAATTTTCATAAATCCGTCGAATTTAAATTATCTAATAATTCCAGCAATAATGAAATATTTGATAATAATAAAATTAAATAAATTAGAACTAAGCAATCATAAAATAAATATAGAATATTAAAAAAAAAGACCAAAAGGTAAAAGTAAACAGAAACCTTAACGCGTTAGGGTTTAACCCCCAGCTTATAATCGTAATGTTCATATTTTCCTAAATTTAATTCATAAATTTATAAACACTTCAATCATTCTGCAATATTAATGAGAACTTTAAATCAAAAGAATGTAAATCTCAGCTATACTGCGTTAGAAATATAGAAAAATCAATATCCCAGCTCAAAAAAACATTATATTGAATAAATACATCAGCAACAAAACCAACAACGTTAATTAATTTACACCAAATAAATAGAACTACCGAAAAAATACGATCTGTCCCTTAAACGGCCAATGTACAACTGATTATATTGTATACTGAGCTAACATACACATATATCCGACAAATATGTCAAAATTTATAGTAGAACAACTACAAATTCTGGCAAATTTCCATTTTATCATCATCAAATGACTTTAGACAATGTAAGATACATAAATATCGTGGCTCTCTCCAAACATTTCTGTCAATTAAAGAATGGTGGTAATGAACCCATTATTACATGGGATATTGTAGCTAAAATCAAATCTTACAATGGGGAAGGTGATAGATGCCTTGTAGAAAAATTAACTACCTTAAAAATCTTAAATAACCTTAACTTAATAAACAAGAGAAATTAATTGATAGTCGCATGTAGGCATAAAAATAAATACATCTTGAAATACGTTGATTCAGATTAATTTCTACTGTAGATTATAATCTTTCTTTATTAATTTTCTTCTGTTTACTTATCTTATGTCGAGTATATATTATTTTGTTATATAATTTTACATCCGTTTATTTTAATAAAAAAATAAAAACAACAACTATAAGTCCCCGTTTATTTTAAATGTAAAATAAATCCCGTCTATTTTAATTAAAATTTTATAAAAAAAAAACGAAAAAAAAGTAATCCCCGCATACTATATGGACTGTGCCACCATTGCGTTAACCAGATATTTTTTTTATTAAAATCTAAATTATATAACGGTCAGTCTCTACTTAGCACCTGAAGATTGCATTTGCCTGAAACTCCGAGTCGTGCTACCGATGAGGAAAAAATGTATATCTATCAATATATACTTAATAGCTCTGTTATATTACATCGAGCACTATTTTATTAACACCAGCACTCAACGTGTGATATTTTACATTCATATATATATATATATATATATATATATATATATATATATATATATATATATATGAAGAAATATAGTTTTAAGGTGTGCTATATTTATGGGATAAAGTGCTCAATATCAGAAATAGTGTATGTAAATATAAATATAAAAGTGAACATTGAAATCAACACTCAGAGGCGACAGGCTGTTTCATGCTGAACGCAATCGTCAGGCCGCCGATTGCGTCTAGCATGAAACAGCCTGTCGCCTCTGAGTGTTGACTTTAATATTCACTTATATATATATATATATATATATATAAATATGCGTTTAGTTAAAGGCTAACAAAAGTTCTTTCTTAAGGACGCAATATTTGAAAAAGATGAAATCGACATAGCAGAAAAAACAAAAACAAAAAACAAACAAAACAACAAAAACGCAAAAACAATTTGATAATGTTTTATGCAATCTGGAAGTATCTGGGATAATTTTAACTTTCACCTGAAAGCAGGGCAATGATTAGAAAGATTGGAAAAAATCCTGAAAGTACTTTCGTTGGTTGGTCTTTAGCAAGACTTTTATAAATCTCTCTCTCTCTCTCTCTCTCTCTCTCTCTATATATATATATATATATATATATATATATATATACTAGCAGTAGAGCCCGGCGTTGCCCGGGGATGTTACAGTAAGAGATAGATCAAGTATCGACCATCATAAAGACTGAAAAATAAAATTGACAAAGATTATTGTTTAAGGTTGACGGACACGCATGTCTTAATTAGTTTTTTTTTTTTTTTTTTACGAATTGGTCAAACCCAAATTCAAACAAAAAACATTGTTTACAATCGTTATGAGTCTATCGATTGGTGAATAGAATTTTATTATAAACAATTGTCTTGTAAATGGAATTTTTAAAGCATTCTGAATGTAAATAAAGAAAAAAGTGTGCAAGACAATAAGAAATACTACCTGCCGAAAAAAAAAATGGATGTTTGTTTTATTGGCTGAAAAATATAAGAAATCCGATCCCATATATAAAGGAACACACACACACACACACACACACACACACACACACACACACACACACACACACACACACATATAAACAACCTGGGTTTTTTAACCTAAGTCACTCCACGGAATCGCTAAAACATAGAGCATAGTCTGATGAAAAAGACGCCAAAGTTTACGAAAACAAAATTTTATCGTCAAAATGCTTATTTTTTTATGAAGAGGATAGACTAAATTTTTTTTAATTATTTTTAAAATTTTTCCATCTTTTAGAATATTCTAAATTTTGATTTAAAAAACCTTGTTTCTCTTTGTCGCAAATAAGGGGTAGTAAATAACATAGATAATTTTTAGCGCATTTTTTGTATTTACACACATTGATTTGGAAAATCTTGCAAAAATAAAAATAATTGTC